TGCATCTCTACATTGTGCTCCATCATCTCTTCAGTTTGGTCTGCGATCTTTTCACTTTGTTTTTGCATCTCTACATTGTGCTCCATCATCTCTTCAGTTTGGTCTGTCATCTTTTCACTTTGTTTTTGCATCTCTTCATTGTGCTCCATCATCTCTTCAGTTTGTTCTGTGATCGTTTCACTTTGTTTCTGCATCTCTTCAGTGTGCTCCATCATCTCTTCAGTTTGTTCCGTCATCTTTTTACTTTGTTTCTGAATGCCTTCACTGTGATCCATCACTTCGTAAGTTTGTTCAGTCATCATTTCGCTTTGTTTTCCCATTTCTTTGCCATGTTTTTCCATCTGTTCACTTTGTTTTTCCGACTCTTTGGCTTGCTTTATCATGTCTTTGATCTGTTCTGCCATCTTTTCGCTTTGTTTCTCCTCCTCTTTAGTTTGCTCCATCTTCTCATCATTTTGTTCTGTCATCATTTCGCTTTGTTTTTCTATTTCTTTGCTTTGTTTGTCAACCTTTTCATTTTCATTCTCTAWCTCTTTGCTTTGTTTCTGTGCCTGTTCAGTGGGCTTCAGCACCTCTTCAGTTTTCTCTGTCATCTCTTCACTTCGYTTCTCTATATCTTCACTTTGTTGCTGAGCTTCTTCTGTTTTTTCCATCACCGCTTTGCTTTGTTTCGTCATTGTTTCTGCCYGCACTGTCATATTTTCAGCATGTCTTCTGAGATGGGTTTCAAAAATTTTCTTCCTAATAAATATCCTCCCACAATGAGGACATTGAAACTCCAGTTGTATATCGTGAGTTCTGATATGCCTTTCAAAAGTTTTCTTGCTTGTCTTGCTTGTAAACKTCTTTCCACAATGAGGGCACTCCCGCTCGGTCTTTGCTTGTGACTTTTTATGGCTTTCCAAGGTACTATTTCCCATCTCTTCAGTTTGTTTCGTTTTCTCATCACTTTTCTCCAACATCTCTCCAGTGTGTATTTTCAGGTGAGTTTCAAAAGACTTCTTATTGATATACTTTTTCCTGCAGTCAGGGCACTCCAGCACAGTCTTTTCTGGTGACTCTTGTTGACCATCCAAGGAAGTATTTGTCGCCTCCTCTGTTTCTTTCGTTTTCTCTTCACTTTTTTCCAACATCTGTTCAGTGTGTATTTTTAGGTGAGTTTCAAAAGATTTCTTACTGGTATATTTCTTCCTGCAGTCAGGGCACTCCAGCACCATATTTCCTTGTGACTCTTGATGGCCATCCAGAGAAGTACTCGTCGCCTCCTCTGTTTCTTTTGTCATTGTCTCATTGGTTTGCTTTGAAATGTTTTCAGTGTGCTTATTAATGTGCCTTTGAAAACATTTATTGCTAGCATACTTCTTCTCACAGTGAGGGCACTGTAAATGTTTTTCATGTGAAGTTTGAATGCTTGAATTAGAAGTACTTGTCATCTCTTCAGTTTGCTTCTCCACCTCTTGAGCATGTGTTTTGAGGTGGTTTTGCAAACATTTYTTCTTAGTATACGTCTTCCCACACTGAGGACAACYAAACTCAGTCTCTTTATTAGGTGTCTCATGTGACTTTAGATGGTTATCCAAGGTAGTCTTTCTGTTGAAAGACCTTTGGCAAACAGARCACTTGAAAGGTCTCTCCACAAGGTGTATTTTCTTATGGCGATCTAAAGTTTGTTTAAGTAAAAACAGCTTATTGCACACATTGCATTGGTGCGATTTCGTYCCATYGTGCATCTGAAGATGRTCCTTGAGATACTTGCTTCGGGTAAACTTCTTCTCGCAAAGAGAACACTCGTAACGTCTATCTTGAGTGTGTGATCTTATATGYTCTCTCAAGGTTGACTTGCGGGCAAATGCTTTGTGGCAGAAACTGCATTCGAAGGGCCTCTCTCKYGTGTGTGTTCTGATATGATCATTCAAAGTGGCTTTTAATGCAAATTTCCTTGAGCAGTGCATACATTCATAAGGCTTTTCTCCAGTGTGCGTTTTAAAGTGTCGCATGAAAGAGTACTTTTGTGTAAATTCCATTTCACAGACACTGCATTTGAAGATTTTGTCTKTKYCCATATCYGCACTKGTTTTACCAGTYTGAATGCCAGTTAGGTCAGSAGTATAGGGCATTTCACTGTTRAYATCATATGATGTATTTTTGKTTAAGACCTGCCCGTTGGTTGAATAATTCAACAATACTGATATAGCATTCAMACTTTCGTTGACAATCTCTTCTTCTCTGTAATCTGCATGAAAATCTGGAGAGGAATCATCTTCATTAATACTTTCTTCATCTAGTTCAACTGGYTGTTCTGGTCCTACTAAGCTGCTGGCAACGTTTTGTAAGCCTGTGTTGACATACATGGAAGAACAGCCATTGTTACAACCATAATCATCTGTTTGAGTCTCAACACTAGAGAACTCTTTAAAAGTGATGTTGCTCTGAAAAAAAAAAATATATATAAATATATAAATAAGAAAGAAAAAAAGAATTGGCTTGATTGATAGTGCTTAATGATATAAAACATGACAAAATAATATGCAGAAGTTATGATCATTTTTGACTCATATTCCAGGTATACATTATATTAAATATATCAGAAATTATGGGATATCATCGTCAATATTTTTTTGAAGTTGCCTAGCACTTCTAGTACTTTCTGAAAAAAAAATATTGGCAAAGATATCCCATAATTTCTGATATATTTTATCTTGTCTTTGAATATGAGTCAAAATGATAACTCAATAAAATACAATGATCCAATATTTATTTCTACAAATGAAATAATAAATTAATACAAATATATGACATGGCCACACAGAGACACATATTAATTAATTTACAGGGAGTGTTGAAAAGATATTTCAAAAATGAGAATTTTTCAACGTGAGACGGTGATATTTGTATTTTCAATCCACCATGAAATATATTATCCATTAAAAGCAAATAACTGTACGATTGTGTAAAAGTGACTTACATTGACTGTACCTTCAATATATTTTAAGATGACAAAAATATTATTTCAACTTTTTACAAGTGTGAAACAGGCATTTACTATAAAGTATATCAGGATAAAAAGCATGGCAGGAAGATAAATCATAATGACAATCCGAGATAATCTCACAAAAAAACAATAATAAAACTACTAAAAAAAAGAACCTACTAACAAGAATGTTGGGTGCTGTATTTTTACCATAAAATGCATTTAGATAGCAGTATTGTTGTAAGCTAATTATAGTTATATATAGTATATAGTTCATACCTTTTGATAGTAATATTGGACTACATATAGAGATCATTTATCATGGTCTATTTAACAAATAGATCTCATTTTTCCGTGCGTGTGTACTCTAATAGATACACAGATGACGTCAAAATGTAGTGAGAACAAAAAAGTATGCACGAGACGCAGTCGAGTGCGTGACTGTTGTTCTCGCTACATTTTGACGTCATCTGTGTATCTATTAGAGTACACACACACACACGGAAAAATGAGATCTATCTGTTTTATACAACAAACAATTAGTTTTGACGTAATCCGTGTACATCTATACTTTGATAACACACGAAAGCCAACCAATCAAAACGTCTGATTTTACTGAAAAGTTGTATAATTACTGATAAATTTAGTGTAATGTACACTGTAACTGAGTAACTGTAAATGGGGATTGAAAATATAAATTATGCCTGGCTTTTTCTTGTTTGTCTGTCTGACTTTATAACAAGGCATGTTTTTATAGTGGCTCCTGCATTGGAATGACAGACCCACTGTGAATTTTGAATTTTGACATACAAAAAGCTGTATAGTATGTGTTGTAAGGATTTTTCACAAAGTTCAATTGCTCAATCCAAACAAAATATGCACACAGCATAAAGATATACAATTTTACAAAATTTAAACTTTCTAAAGGAATCTTTAAACATTTCGATTTTTTATGTAAAGTTTCAGTCCATTTGGTTCAATATTGAGTGTTTTACAGTATACATGTAGCTGCTGTTCCACAGTATCCTTACTTCTTAGATGAGAACAAAACACTGTTWAGATGAGTTGATTTTTATTGAAATATATATATATTTTCGAAAAACTGCTAAAAAGTACATTAATACCTAGCTTGGGATCTTATTGTTGCTGAATTTTGAACTACATACAGAATGAATTTCATTGGATGATGATAAAGGTACTAGACAACTAGGCTACTCTGTACTCCGACGAAGGATTTACGTCCAAAACGTAAGTTTATTTCACCTACTTTTTTACAATGTTAAATTCATCTTTTTAAACACAAATGTTTCTTACACTGACGCGAATCACACTAGTTAGTTCCCACCATCTAGGCTTTCAGATATTGTTGATACTGTATTCTGGTTTGAATATCATGGCTGGGTAATTGAAGGGAGAGGCTAAATTCTGCATGTTAGAGTACAAACACTAAAACTGTGCAACATAAATACTAACTAAATACTGCTAAATTATGCTAATTCTATTGTTTAATTAACACTATTTTGTAGTAAATAGTGAAAAGTGTTGCACACATTTAATGTTTGTACTCTATAAAGAATGTTGAGTGTCATAATTAATATACAAGATATTAAMTTAATATATTAAGAATAATCATGACTAATTATCCTTGTGCCATAACAAATCCAGTTTAACATTACTCCTTTGGGGGTGAAGATGTTTTTTTTATATAAACTGTTGTCATTATTGTGGATGAGCTTTACCCAATAAAATAAAAAAAAGGACTTAATTATGTCACAGAAGTATGAAATAGACTTTTTATGCATTGAAAATTATCCTTCAGCAGCATAGTTGATAGCCTGTGTACATCCGTTTCTCACCCCTAAAAAAATCGGGGAGAGAACGTCTGTGATTTGCCGTTGCTAATCGTGTTCTGACCTAAATTTGCATATATAATGTGACATGCACGTTAGAGCTTGAGCAGGCACGTTAAAAGGTCAAGTAAACAATGGACCGTTCCGCAACATAATTCGAACATAATGCCTAGAGATTTTGTTTTTGTTTCAGCCATTCAATTCTAACTTCGACCGTGGTTTAAATTATTGTTTCTGCCCATTGGTCTATGCCGTGCTCTCTCTATCTTCGGTAGTAGGTGTCTCGTCAGAATGTGGTTTTCCTGTAATTTGCGTCATACAATGACTTCCATCAACCGTACTAATATCTTCTTGTGAAGATTACGTTGTCCTCGGCAGTTTTGAAGCTGTAACTCTGGCGCTTTCGCAGGCTATTATGAGATGTAGAATACAAACTACTAAGCCCCCTTCTCTTCTTTAGCACTTCTGACAAATGCAAGTTTTGTTCRTGAAGATTGGCAGCGAATTCTAATGACATTATAATTCCACATCAATTTTAAATTTACCCTGACCGAATATAAGATTAAAGCCTAAACTTTTACAGAGAATTTGAGAACAAATAACATATTCAATTTGAAGCATTCTACATGTTCCAGTGGTTTACCATGAAGGCTTATATTTCACTCGTGTGACCAACTTTACACGCCATCTATTGATTTTGGCCAATCACAAGTCTTGAAATACAACAGCAGCCAATCAAATTCTTCCTCAAAATCTTGTGGAACTCTACGTAGACCTCGGAACACGATTAGCAACGGCAAATCACAGACGTTCTCTCCCCGATTTTTTGAGGGGTGAGAAACGGATGTACACAGGCTACATAGTTGAGTGATGTCGAAAAATACAAAGTGTAGCCGAAGCTACTTTAGCTTATAATTCTAAATGTGTTTTATTCTATCTTGCTCATTCCCTGATGATGTTGTAGACAGCGAAAGCTTGGAACAATTAATTGTAAACTAGATCTACATTCAGTGCTCAGCTTCGGCTACACTTTGTATTTTTTGACATCACTTTTTATGCACTACTACTTAATAAGGGGGGAAACAATCTAACTATATAACAAGACAATAGGTGATACATTGCATTTTTACAGTATTTATAATTAAGCTACTGTTGCAAAAAATATGCCTTTTTCCCATTCAGAGCGAACAGCCGCTGATTTTAAGTTGACAACAGTCTCTTTGTGCAGAGACCTGACCAAAAACAAAAGAAAACATGAAAAAATGTTGTCATTACAATAGCGATACGCCTGTATTCCCAGAAGGTTCAACGTCTTGCTCAGGCTAAGCCTCAAATCGGAGAAGATTCAACGTTCTAGAGCTATTGTAATGTCAACATTTTTTCGTGCTTTCTTTTGTCCTCTATGCAAGTGAGTCTGTTGTCTACTAAAACAGAGTTCGCTTGCATTGAACTTGGAAAAAGGCTTATTATGTGAAAAAGAGGAAATTTAACTGGAACTCAAACTTACATCAGTAGACCACTTGTGTTCTCCTGTCAGCTTGTTGTATATAAACAAAGTCTG